CACACACACACACACACACATACACACACACACACACACACACGCACACACACAGAAAGACAGACAGACAGACACACACACACAAATTCACACTCTTACATAAACACAGATATATTTCATGTACTGTGGCGTTCAAAAGAAACTTGAAAATGTTATCACCCAATTATTGTGTTAAATCCTTGCATTACCCACTCATGTAGCATACCAATTTAAAGCAAAATAAATTCTGTATTGTGTAATACTTGATAATTCATATATATATTTAGAGACGCCCGAGATATGGTCACTCAAATCTAAGCTTAAAAAATCAACCTTTACAAAATTGTGTGAAATAAAAAAAACCTAACATCGTCTTTGTGCGTGTATTGGGGAGCATCCATATTGATGGAATGGACATACATTGAAAGGGAATATTTCCTCTGCAATAAACAATATTTTATTACGTTTATTTACGAATGTTACAAACTAAACACAAAACAGAGCAATCTCAAATACCACGCAAAACCTAGCATTAAATGTGCTCGTTGTTATTTTGTTTAGGAGCCGCTGGTTTTGAGTAGTTCACGAACTCTGTGAACATCGACTCTATTAAAATTTGGACACAATTATCTGTTATTTCTCCCCAAATGTCACGGAGAGTTGCAAAAAGTGTCCGAATTAAGAGCGAAGTTGCTTTTCTTCAGCTGCTGTTTCATGGGATTTCACATATCAATAAGATTCATACCGGGGGTATTCACTGTTGATCACTATAATGTTTTTTTGATTTGGTTATCCATGGATTGTCTAGTGGCATTGGCCATGTGAGGAGATGCTTTGTTGTGCGTGGAGATGTCTACTTGAATGACACTAGGACAAAAGTAAGGATAAGACACAACGTTCCATCACTTGCGCAATGTAGTCTACTAAACCATGCCATCCGGTTATCCTCAAACCACCGAAAACTATTGCAGTTTCGTTGCCGTTGTTCCTCTCTTAGACACGATTATGTCCAAACTCTAACTGACACAGTCCAAGGGCAAGACAGGTCACGAAACCAATAACTCTTAATCAAAACCAAAATTATATTAATGAGCACATGTAATGTTGAGTCCGTATTTTGCTTGGTATTTGTAACTGCTCTGTTTTCCTGTCTTTTTAAAAATATCACCAGAAGATGCTGTTCATTGCAGAGACAATAATAATA